CCCATAAACTTAGATTTTTTTTACTTGAAAAATGTTATTTTTTACTATATTTTACCGGAGGGGACTTTAGGTTTACCCTCCGTCCGTCCGTCCGTCCGTCAGAGTCCGTCCGTCCACAAAACTGGATCCCGCGATAACTTGAAAAGTACTGAAAATATTTTTATGAAACTTGGTATATGGATAGATGGCACTATGGAGATTATGCACGTCTTTTTCTTTTCTTCCTATGTTGAAAATTCTGGTTGTTATGGCAACAAATAGGCTGAAAATATGGCAAATTTTACACATAAACTGGATCCAGTGATAACGCAAAAAGTACTGGAAATATTTTTATGAAACTTGACATATGGGTAGATGGCAGTCTTGGAATTATGCAAGTTCTTTTTTTTTCTTCCTATGTTGAAAATTCTGGTTGCTATGGCAACAAATAGGCTGAAAATTTTACACATAAACTGGATCAAGTGATAAAGCAAAAAGTACTGGAAATATTTTTATGAAACTTGACATATGGGTAGATGGCAGTCTTGAGATTATGCACGTCTTTTTCTTTCCTTCCTATGTTAAGAATTCTGGTTGCTATGGCAACACATAGACTGAAAATATGGCAAGTTTTACACATAAACTGAATCCAGTGATAACTCAAAAAGTACTGGAAATATTTTTATGAAACTTGACATATGGGTAGATGGCAGTCTTGAGATTATGCATGTCTTATCTGTTCTTTGTATTTTGAAAAAATATCAGTTGCCTTGGCAACAAATAGGCTTAAAACATGGCAAATATAACAATATTTGTGATTAGTCAAAAAGAGCTGAAAATTTTTATGAAATTGCATCTTTAATTCAAGAGTTATCTCTTTTTTAAGAATTTTGCTTTTAAAATGTTATATTTTGGTAACAGGGATGTTTCAAATATTAACTTTAGTGTGTCCTTCAGTCCGTCTGTCTGTCTGTTCATAAAAACTGTTTCCTGTGATCATTTTTGAAGAACTTTTCCAACAAGTTTACTTAAAATAGAGAAAAATTGAAACATTAGTGAATGGCCAATGGCCCTTCAGAATATTGATGGGGTTCTAACCGGTAGGGGACTTATGAATTGCTTGCAATACTATGATAATTGCTTGTTTTTAAAGGTATTTTCATCAATTTTCAAATACTTATAAATAAAAAGTTATTCCTTATCATCAATTACATTTTATGTGACAAGCTTCATAACTCTTGAAGCAATATTTACAGATTTATCTCTCTTTTAGGCCATTCTTAAAAAATATTTGTTGGCAGTAAACCAACCCAGAATTTCCAAGGTGGGTAGGTAGGTCAATTGTTTTTTTTGTTTTTTTATTCAATTGTACTCCAAAATAAACATGGAATTTCAAAATGCTGGACAATATATGCTTTGATAATCTGGTAACAATTAATAAATTGATAACTAAATTCTAATTTAATAAGACCTACATTTTATTTCTTCTATTAACCTTTAAAAGAACGAAAACAAAGCACAAGGCATAATTTTCTGTTTCAAAAAAAATAATTTTATATCCAGACCATGAAAAAAAATTTTGAGTGGGGGCAAATTTTGTGAGTCGGTCGCGTTACTGCAAACAAACATTTTTTTAAGGATGGCCTGAACTTAGGATTTTCTATAAGAAATTTTATTACTTCTTTACTTTTTAAGGAATCTTCTTCAAACTTCAAATATATGTTTCTTATCATTACACACACTTGTGTGACAAGGTTCATAACTCTAGCGAGACTATTCCAGAATTGTTCCCCTTGATCTTGGAATTTATGTTAACAATGTTATTTTTTTACTATAACTGAATACATAATTATACATAATTGATTCTTTTTCATTGTTTTGTCTTCCTTACTGCATCCAGTATTTTATTAGTCGAGCTCGCTATCTCCTGTGACAGCTCTTGTTTATTATATAAGTCAAAAGAGGGAGGAAATCTATGATGAAGTGAAATAATATTTGATTAAATCATGAAATTCAGTACATACATGTATTTATAACCATTACATTACAGAAATCTCAATGAGACATTGATTTCATTTATAAATATCCTGTTATAATGTTCAATAAAAGGGTTAAAAGCCTTTCCAAACTCTTGATTTCTGGTAGAATATATTATATAAACTTGGATCATTTTGTATTTAAGACAACTGAAAGTTCAGTTTATGGTTGGAGCAGTACAACAGATTCAGATGGAAATTGTTTGTCAGCAGATGGCTGGAGTACTACATCACAAGATGAAAATGGATGGTCAGCAACTGATGTTGAGGACAACAGAACAGTTTTTCTGTCTGATTCTGAGCATGTAACAGTATCAGAGAGCAATTCTTTGGACCATGAAAGAGTTTTGGCAAAACCGTTACCTGCGAGAAGCATGAGGGATTTTATTGCTTGTGAGTGAACTTTTTTTAATTGAATCTAGCCTATAAGTTGATCACTGCCTACACTTTACAAATGTTTCAATTACTCAAATGTGGATATAAAATATTATTTTGCATGAATTATTGAGTTATGGCCCTTTGTTAGGAAGACACTTGATTATCATTACAAGACACAGCTGTTAGACAAGGGGCACTATCCTGAAAGCAACATTTTTATGCTTGCCGAAGGGAGAGCATATAGTCACCACCTTGTCCCTCTGTCCGTCCTTCCTTCCATCTGTCAGTCCGTTGTCTTGTCTGGAGTAGAACTTGAAAACCCTTGGAGTTAATTTGTTTAAACTTTATACAATGGTAGAGGACATTGAGAGGGAGTGCAGTGCACAATAACCATAACTCTATTTTGCCCGGTTTTTAATTATCTCCCCTTTTAGAAAAATCTTGTCCGGGACAAGACTCTAAAACTATAAAAGATATCAACATGAAACATTGTAGGTAGATAGATCTCATTAAGTAGAAGTGCAGTGCAAAAGAACCATAACTCTGTTCAGCCTCATTTTTTAAATATTTCCCCTTTTAGATCAATCTTGTCCAGGAGATAGTTGTAAAACTATAAAAGATATCAACATGAAACTTTGTAGGTAGATATATCTCAATGGGTAGATGTTGCTGCACAAGAATCATAACTCTGCATTGCCTGATTCTTGAGTTATTGCCCTTTGTTTATTTTTACTTTTTGAAGTTGTCCTGGACATAACTCAGAAACCATAAGAGATATAAACAAGAAACTTTGTAGGTTGATACATGACATTGATTACAAGTGCAGTGCTAAGTACAGTAACTCTTCCTTGACTAATTTTGGAATTATTGCACTTTGGTTTAAACAATATTTTATTTCAGCAAATATATATATATATAATTATATACACAATATATTACAATAAAATGCAAAAAGGATTGAGCAGAAAGCTCTTTTTTTAGAAACTCTCTCCTTGAAATGAAAAAGTAGTTATTAATGATAACATTCATATATAAACAAAATATTGTATGCTTGTAATTCTAAGAGTTCAATAATAATCCAAGTACAAAAATTATCAAAATGAAACTAAATCATTGTAAATGAATTAAGATAAACATTAAGACATTTATATACATTAAAAGAAAATTTAGCAATTAGTTTTTTTTATTTCATGGAAAAAAAAAAAGAAAAAAAAGGGGAATAATAAAATCGGTATAGAATTAGTTAGAGAGGGAAATGGAGGGGGAGAGAAAGAGAGAAAGAGAGAGAGAGAGAGAAAGAGAGCTTAAGGTTGCTTACGGTATTGGATTGTGTGGGCCTCTTTATGAGAATTTCTTTGTCTGTTGTATATAATAGTGAACATATTCAAAGACATACTGTATGTGTTAATTTGTGGGTTGTCACTATCACCATATAAGACAAGAGAAAGTGTAGAGGTTGCATTTTCAAGTGCATTGATATTGTCAGTTGGCTGTGTTCTTTGTGTTTCAAATAGTAAACATTTAAAAAAGTAGTGATATGCACTTTGAACATTTTCAAGGGACATAACTCTGAAACTACAAGAGGTGTACTTCCCTGTGTCCATAACTTATTCGGGGAGCATCACCCGGCTCAAACTGGGCACTTGTTATTAATTATGCTACTTATCATGGGCTTTAAATGAAAATTTGATATTAACAGACAAATGCTTACATGGAACATTGCACATGGTGTTCTTGTTTTCATTTTAAGGCTTTTGAATACTAAAAAGCTTCTGTCTTATGAACTGTATCTTTTTTGGCCATGATTATTATAGTTATACAGTTTCACTATCTATAAAATATCATTTAAATAATATCAGACAATAATATGATTTTTTTTAAATGATCTAAGATTGGCAAAAGAAATTTATTTACAGTTCATAAATACTAGTAACAAAATTACTGGCTGTTTCTGGTAATTTCCTGTAATTTGGCTAATTTGGGTACAAGTCGAGTAACCCTCTTTATCAAAAGTCTTTTTTATTTTTTGAGACTGCTGCTTAATATAATCCTATCAACAAACATAGAAAATGAAATAATTTCTGCAAAAAATATATGTATAATTGCCCACAAGTTCTTGGTTTCTTCTATCATTATTTTTTGCCTCTGGATTTTGGGAAATTGCTTATTTTGGAAAGTAAAACCTTGTGGTCTCTGCATGATTTTAAGAAGGATTTTAGGAGAGGGTTTAAATAGAATTCTGTTATATAATGTAAGAAGCTCTGAAATTGGCTTTGCCTTTGAAGTTGTTACTCTTTACGGATTCTTTAAAAGTTCTCATACTCTATTTGCTAATAATGGGAAATTTAAATCTTAGAGAGAAAAACTTGTCAGAAATTTCATGGCCTGAATTTATTTATTTTGTGTATAACATTATCAGTCCCATTGCTATATTCTAATAATAATCAAGTTTTATCCTGTATGTAAGTTATTTAAATACCAAGTCTTCTTCCGAACTTTGATGTTGACGAATACATCATAACATGTATTGTATAACTGTCTTAAATTTCCGTGTTTTTTGGGACAAGTTATGATGCACAATTACTAAATAGCAGCAGCAATGATTAAAGTGAGGTGTGATCAGTGTCTTTTAAAGAGATTTTGAAAGTAGACCCATGCTAAATCGTTCAAATTCAACAAAAAGAAATAGAAAAATGTTTCTTCTTTGATATAAATTATTATACAACAGTATATAGAAATCAGAATACATGTATATTATTTGAATGTTTATTACCTTCCCTATTAAAGTACATAATTAATGATTATGAAATTTTTAAATTTCTTTCAGCTGAAGTAAGCAGTGGAAAGATTTTAAAAACCAAGGCGTTAAGTTTACTTAATATAAAAAGTGTGCTCAAGGACAAATGCAAATGTGGGAAACTGTGTATTCAAAAGTTGTCTGTTGAATCCATTAGGCAATTGAGAAAGAGCTATTGGGAAAGTTCAGAAGCTGGAAGGTTGCAGATGCTAATATTTTACATAAGAAATTCTACAAAGATTGGTAAGTTTAGGTTTGTAAGTGTCACTTCAAATCTAAGCTTATGCACTTATGCCTTCATAAGGTGCTTAAACATCAGTAAGAATAAATTAACTTGTGCTTTTGAGGCTCATGAACAGAATGAATTATCAACACCTGGAAAAAACAGTAGAAGTGTTCAGGACAATTCTTTAGTTCTTGTAACATGGATGGAGAAATATGCAGAGATGCATGGTGATAGAATGCCAAATACAAACCAGATCTTGCTGCCATATGGACTTACTAAGAATGATTTATATGGTAAATACAAAGAGGAATGTACTACAAAACCAGTCAGTCGTTCACAGTTTTACACAACTTGGAAGCAGCATTTTCCTCATGTGAAGATTAAGAAGGTATGAAATATGATAATGACTATATAATTGTTTACCTCTATTATTTTAAACCAAAGAGGAATGAAATGGATTTCTTTAAGTGACTTCATTTATAGAGATTGTGTGATACCTGCTCATGTTTGTCTCTTTATGACTGTGAAGTTCAACAGTTAAGGGGATATTATGGTCTCAAGCTGAGTAAATGATATATCACTAAAGCAATTTCAATGTATAGCTCAAGTATTTGCACTTGTTATACGCCTTAAATGATTTTTGGGAACTACTCCTCTTATACCACTGTCTTTGATGCAGTTTCAATGAAATTGTACATGGAAGTACTTGTGCATATTAAACGGGTTTCCCAGTTGATAGATTTTTAGCTAAGTTATTACTCTGGGATGTTAACCCTGTTTTGCCCTGTTGCTGAATTTTTTGTCGGTTGTTACTAAGTTAAGCTGCACCAATGCAATATGCTGCCTTGAGGCGACACATGTGGTCACTGATCGCACCTGTTCTGTAGAGCTGTTATGATTCCATGCTATTGGTGAAGTGACATAAATTATTAATGCATAAAAATATTATTCCTTGCAGACAAACTCTTTTACAAAATGCACCATATGTACGACTTTGGAGAGACAAATAGCAAAGACGACATCTGTGGAAACACGCTCACTGTATAGACAACAGAAAGAAGCCCACAATCGAAGGCAAATGTAAGTAACTTAGTTATAATTCTTTTTGGAAACAATTGCTTGCATCTACATTAAATTTATTATTATTTTAAATTTTTGACTGAAATGTTAAGTACAGTAATAAATGCAAACTTGCCTGTTTTTCACTTGTAGACAAATAGACTGTTAGTACTCATAATAGGGAAAAGTTGTGTAACACAGGATTATTTGGGAAATTTAGAAACAGGGGAACTAGTACATTATCAGTGATTTTTCTACTTATATAACAGACTCCGAAAAAAGGCCTCTTCCCAATTGAAATTTTCTTTAAAATCATGCAGTTTTCCCAAAAATCTGAACTTAAACCAGCTTTTTTACTTCCCAAATCAGCAATTTTAGCGATAATTTTTCCCAAAATCAAGAGGCTCAGGCCTCTTCCCAATTAAGTGAGAAAAATCACTGATTATTTAAACTTTTATGTTATGTTTATTTTAAAGCCCTCCCTTGGTCTAATTATACCACTCCTGTGCCAATTTCGTAATTTGTAGCTAGTACTTCTAAAAAAAAATATACCAGTTTCACATCTGTAGGAAATTCCTATTTCACAATCAAACATTTCTTTGGACAGTATATACTAATACTCATATACCTTTATATTAAATTATTATCAAAGGGCTGCAAGCTCAGTGATATTTTCTGATCTTTGCAATCTAAATCATACTGACTATCTGTATGTATTTTCCTGTAAAATTTATTTTTATATACTATAATTCATCTTACACAGCGACTCTGTTTTGATTTTTTACTATAACAGTTTGATATTGATACATATGGAATTTTGCATGACTAGAGTTGCATCAAAAAATCATTCATGTTCATTTTTTTATGACTTTATCCTTGCATATCATGGCTACTTCCTTAAAAAAGACACTTCAAACAAAAACAAAAAGTTGCCTTGACTAGGATTTGAACACCAGACCTGTCACCGTAAACGAGCGCGCTACCCCTGCACCACGATAAAGTAATATGTAGATAGCCTGAATGAAAACAAATACATTGTAATTCTAAATTGAGAATTAGTTTCGAGGTATTTTGTTCATGATAAACCTGTTGTTTAATACTGATGAAAATAATTTAGCGAAAATCTTCTCGCCAAAACAGTCTGACATGTATATCTTCCACTACTCGACAGTCGGATTTATTTGTGTACTAAGCTCTGGAGTAGTCGGTAATCTACATCGCTAAAAATAGCATTTTCATTGATTAAAATTATATTCATCTGCGTAATTTGTGATTGTGCATTTATTGCCAATTCTATATTCTTTTAAACTTTGAATGCACTGTAATTTGTTGGATACTTGTAACAAAATAAAAATATTTCTTTCTTTTACATCGCTAGTTTTAAGCTGCTTTGAGAACAACTTGTTGTTAGGTTTGTCGTGAAATTCTGTGTCAGAGATTGAATGTCAGCATTGAATTTTCTGATCTGAGATCAGAAAATACAAAAAGCTATTTGAATTTTGGAGTTTAATGTAAAAAGATGAAATAGATCAACCCTTTCTGTATTGTTTTTACCAAGGGAATGCAAAATATTTTTCTTGAATTATGCAAAAACCATGCTTCCATCATAATGCAAAAACTAGTTCAGAATTTCAAGAAAACTTATGCTTGTTTTTGCATGGGGCCTCTTCACAAGTAAGGGGTAAAAAGCCCTGAATATGCAATTCTCAAGGGAGTAAAAAGTATGACTTGATGCTTATTTTAGTCAGTTCTATATCTGACTTTTCAGGATGGAAAGAAAATATTATTATAGCAAGCGGGAAGAAAGTAGGAAATCACCTGGACAGTACATGTCTCTCATCATAGATGGAATGGATCAAGGTAGGCATTTTAAAGCTAGCAATGTTTTATGCAGTATGTTATAAAAATTTGTTCAAGTTCTCTCAGGCATTGAGCAAGGCTTCATATATAGAAACAGGCACAGGAGCAAAAAATGTAAATGTTGTATATTGTATAATAAAAGTAAATGACGACTGTATTTTGTTACGAAATATGGATAAGGATTTCGCAAGTTAAAGGCACATTATGCCTCAGAAATCCTTTTTTTTTTATTAAATTCTTGAGAAATGTAAAACACATGTTTAATAATGTTTTAATAATGGATTTAGAACATGTGAGATATTTAACAGCTGAAGAAAGTAGTGCTAAATGTGCAGTAATCTGTCATAAAGGTAGCAAAATGTAAACAAATAGTATTTTGACTTCCATACAAAATACTAATTCATTATAATTATACCAATTGCCAGCAAATCAAAAGATGCAAAGATAGTTCATTTATATGGCAAATAAATATGTTTTTGTGGAACTTGTAACAAGACACCAAATAGTTAACATTTTGAGAAATAAAAATGATAGCATTTCTGACGCATAATGTGCCTTTAATGGAATATTTGTTGATAACCTGGAATTGGTGAATAAATTGTTAAATTATATTTACAAAATATAAACAACATGTAAAAATTATTATTAAAAGACTTATTTAACAAAAAAATGGTATTTGAATAAAATACATTTATTATACATGAGATCTTGATCGGCATCATGCCAGGTCATTGTTTGGGCATATAGGTCTGGATAAACTTCATTCTTCAAATATATGTTCCTTATCATCAACCATTTCTTATATGCCAAGGTTCATAACTCTAGCTCCAATATTGCCCATCTCCCCATTAACTTTTTTTTACTTGGAAAATGTTAATTTTTACTATAACTGCTTTAGTTTTAAAGGAATCTACCTCAAAGTTCAAATACATATTCCTTTTTATCAACCAGATCTTATGTGACAAGGTTCATAACTCTTGAAACAATATTTTCAGATTTTTCTCCCTTTGAACTTAGATTTTTTTTTTTTGAGAAATATTATAACTTCTGAAACACATCATTAAGCTTTTGGTATTGGCGCAAATTTATGCACTGTGCATTGCTGTGGTTAACAAATTCACTGTCAGTTTATAGATATTGCTTTCTGATTAAGTGTGATATATAACAATAAGTGATAGCTTGAAAATCCTTCAATTGACAGCCCAAATCCGGTCTATTTTTTATTATCTCTTGTACTAATAAAAATTGCTGCCATTAACAGTGAGCTGGCTGGAATGGTTCATGACTAAGGAATCAAAACTTCCAGGAAGGATGCAAACCCACATTAGTACTGCGCATGTGGTTTGACTAAACTATGGCCCAATAATTGATGGCCCATTGTGAACTCTAAGTTAAAATTTTGCATGTAACATAAAACTTGAAAACTACTTATGGTGTCCTGCATTTCTGTTTGATTAAACGGGTTTTGTTGTTTTTTTAGCTAAAAACATGTTTGAAAATTTGATAACCGGTAACTGAGGTTAGTAATTGACAAAGAGGAAAAAAAAAATTAAATTGTCAGATGCTTAATATTTCCTTAAATTTTATAACAGTATATGTCAATTTGTTTGTATTTTAGTTGTACTTGACAATGTATTTTTCGGATCTGATCAGGTAAGGTACGAATTTAAAGGAAAATAATACTCAATGTTTGGATATGTATTGTAATTATTTTTAGAAAAAACAACAACTAAATACAAACAAAGTGTCATGTCTTGTCATAAAGTAACAAAGTTTAAATGTGGAAAATCTAAGGATTTTATAAGTACGGACGGTTAAATGTTTAACACGGATATTAGGTCGCTGTTTAAACGGTTAGCATTTTTTTCAAACCATGACACCCCTAAACTACTGAAGAATAATTCACTTTAAAATTGGCACATGTCTTTGTGATCATATTTGAAATTCAACATCCTAGGACCATAACCCTGTCAGATGGATTTTGACTGAATTGCAGCTGTCTGCAAACTTAGAAATTTCTTGGGGGAAGTTTTGCATGCAACATAATATCTTAAAAACATGGCAATTTATGCCCCTGGAACTAAAACATATTTTCATGGCAATAATTGCAGATCATTACACAGGACCTATGACTAGATTTTGATTGAATTATTCCCTCTGTGAACTAAACAATTTTAAGTTATTTGATTTAACCTTGATGTATTTCTGATTTCAGCTAAAACTAATCTTCCTCATTTCACTGGCAGGAGACCAAAGGTAATTTATTTTATATATTTACATAAACAGTATAGATATTTTTTTTTATTTAGATCATTATGATAACAAGGGTCATTTACATTCTTTGTTGTTTTCATTGATCAGGTTGGCAAACCATTAAATCTCAGATTTATCCATTGAGACATTCAGACAATTCATTTGTTAATGTAATTTGATTGTATAAGCCAAATGTATAATGAAAGTGAGTACCCACATGAATTATTATGCCCATACATACAGATGTTTTATATTTTTTGTGTGGCCAGAGTAGTGGCGACATATAGGGATCACTTCTACGTCGTCTCTCTGTCTGTCCGTCCGTCTGTCACAAAACTTGTCCAGACGACTCCTCATAAACTTCTGGTGCAATTTCATCCAAACTTTACAGGAATGATCAGTACCAAGTCTTGTTGTGCATATTGTCAGCATTTTCTTGTTCAATGATTTTTGAGTTATGGCCCTTAAATAATTTTTATCCGGACTACTTCTCTTAATATACCACTAATGCAATTTCAATGAAACTTTACAGGATTGATCTGTAGCTCAAGTCCTTGCGCATATTGCACGGGTTTTCCGGTTGAATGATTTTTAACCGAGTAATGGCCCTTTGATAAAAAGGTGTTTTTTTCTGTATGTTGCCAGATACACAAAAGCTTGTCCGGACTTCTCCTCATAAACTACTGGTTCAATTTTATTCGAACTCTACAGGAATGATCAGTATCAAGTCTAGTTGTGCACTGTCCGTCTGTCTGTCCGTTTGTCACAAAACTTATCCTAACATGAAATTGGCCATCATGAGGCGACACATGTGATCACTGATCCTCTTGTTTTATTATCAGAAATTGAAGTAGCAGTCTGCTTAAAATATGGAAAGACTGAGTCTCCTCTATTAAAATTTCAGAGAACATAGTCCATTAGTCTAGAAATCTTTGGGATCATAAAAATTATAGAAATATTATTATCAAATACGCAGCGATCAGTATGAGTATAGCATATTGACAAAACCATCATTTTGAATTCTTTTGAAATGACCTTGACCTTTAATTGTAGTAACTGCCAAGGTCAAGTTTTGTTGAATTGGATTGAAATGTCCCAACTGTTATTATACCCCCGCACAACGAAATTGTAAGAGGGGTATACTGGAATCAGCTTGTCCGTCCGGACGTCCGTCAGGCCATTGCTTTTTCCTTGTACGCAGTCTTCATATTTGGTATTTAGATTGGTCATGATTAGTAGTTGATCCCTATTGATTTTGAGGTCACCAGGTCAAAGGTCAAGGTCACAGGGGCCTTGACTAAAAAAATGTTGTCTGCCCAATAACTAAAGATTCCTTCATATTTGTCATGGAATTTAGTCATTATTAGTAGATAACCCCTTTCAATTTTGAGGTCAAGGTCACAGGGGTCTTGGTCTGCCCAATAACTTAAGATTCCTTTGACCCATAGTCTTGATATTTGACATGGTGGTTAGTCATAAGTTGATAACCGCTATCGATTTTGAGGTCACTGGGTCAAAGGTCAAGGTCAGTGGGACTTTGACTACAAAAAGTTTGTCCGCCCAATAACTTAAGAAATTTTTGACCCACAGTCTTCATATTTGGCATCAAGGTTGATCATGACCATTAGGTGACCCCTATTGATTTTGAGTTTACTGGGTCAAAGATGAAGGTCACAGTGGCCTTGATTGAAAAAAAATCTTTTCTGCTCAATTGCATAAGAATGCTTTAGTCAACAGTCTTTATATTTGGTATTTAGGTTGTTTATTACTATTTGATGACCCCTATTGATTTTAGGTGACTGTGTCAAAGGTCAAGGTGATAGGGATATTCACTATAATAAGCTTGTCTGCTCAAATGCTTAAGAATACATGTCCACAGTGTATTGATTTTGACATTTTCACATTTGAAGCATGTAGAATACATAACATAGCAATGCACTGGCTTAGTGACCACATATTTGGCAGGGAGGTTGTCCTTGAGGCTCAAGGGTTGAGCTCTAAATGGCCACTGTTGATTCTGACAAAGTGGTACGTGGGGGTTTTCACGCCATGACAGTGGCAGTTCTAGTTTATTTATGGATTTGAATAATTCTTGGGCAAAAATACACTTGTGACAAAATTTACATGATGATTTATTCAAATATGAACTTGACCTTTGGATGACCTTGACTCTCAATGTCAAATTTTGAATTTGAAGTTTATTTTGTAAAAAAATATGTTTTCTGGAAATGTTCTTTACTTCAATATTCATTCTTTGATGTGTTTCACTTTAGAAATAAGAAAAGTTCAGCATTGACCTGCTTTGCGATGGCTGTTGTTATTATTGAATTGTCAACTTTTCATTTACACAGTATCAAATATGGTGTGTAAATTTTAAGTTCATTTCCCATACTATCAGACTATGTCTCATTTTCAGAATATGAATGCTGCAGATTTGCTTAAAACACATGTCACAGGAATAATTAACCACGGGCATGGAGGTTTCCACACATTTGTTGATATATGTCAGTACAGCCATGATCCGAATCTTACATTAAATGTCCTTCTAAAGACTTTTCTACACACATCAGAGAAAAATGTAAGTACTGAGATATTATTTTAGTACTATTTTTTGTTTTTATCATATTCCTTAAATCAATAAATTACATGCAATATTCAAATTGCCTATGTTTTTTTTTTTCCTTTCGATTAATTATGTATTATGTTTTTGGTACTTTTTTTTTGGCTCTCCACATGTTGATGATACTTAAGAAATAAGTCAGACTTTCTACAAGTATTTGGTGATATTTTAAGGAGTTTGCTGCTCTGGCAAAGTTGCTAGTGACACTGTTGTCAAAAGTCAGTCCCAATTTGAAAGCTGTTTAGGATTTTTGTGCTTTTGATCTTTTGAACGGAATCTAGATATATTTTTTTAAATTTTGTTGCCTTTTTGGTTTCAGGGCAACAGACTTCCAGCTACTCTGTACTTGCAGGCAGACAATTGTTTTCGAGAGAACAAAAACAAATTTGTTCTAGCATTCTGTGAGCTATTGATCAGATGTGAAATATTCACAGAGGTAAGTCTCATTTTATCATTGAATGGTTAGCTTGAAGTTCTGGAAAAGTTGGAGTTCAAGTGTTAAAATCTCACTAGTATTTATAGTAAAAATAAGTGAATGTTAATTATTGAAGCAAAGCTCTAGACTAGTATAGTATATCAGATGGGGTGCACAATACAATTGGAACTATAATTGTGCTGCGATAAGGCAAAATTGATGTTTCAGGCATAGGTTTTAGTATTCCAAAAAGTACATGATTAAGAACTTATAGTTCAAGGTGAAAGTTATTCATATTAGGGAAAAATGTTTTTTGTGCCCCCACTTTAAGGGGGGGGGGGGGAGTTAGATTTACCCTTGTCCGTCTGTCTGTTTTCTGTTGTGTCACACATAGATCAAAAAGTATTTGGCCTAGAGTCATGAAACTTTCAAGAAATGTTGATCAGCATGTGTAGTTGTGCACCTGGGTCTTTTCATGTGGATATACAGTGAAAATTGAGAATACCGGACAGCTTCCGAACGGATGGTTTTGTCCAGTTTTCTCAGCAGTCAGGTTTTCTTAATGTCCCTTCCAGGACGTACTGACTAATGACTTGCCATGAATGCCAGTATATTTGCATTTTCATGATCATATGTATGTATATTCATTATTGCTGAATAAAGAAATGATGGAGAATGACAAAATAACAAGTGTTATTTCAAATTTTTCAAATTATGTCTAAATGCAATAAAATTTTGGATTTAAAACATACAACAGTAACCTCATAACAATAATGTCTGATTATATCCGTATATGTTTACATTTTGGTTCTGGATAATGATTTAACAAACACAGTTTAAAATGAACATGTTTAAGATAACATGCAATTTGATTTTTTTACACACAAAACCTCTTTTTTTTTACAAAATTATACTGTCTTAAACTCTTTAATTAATTCATCTTTGATATATATAGACAGCTCTCATCAATGGAATAGAACTTGGTGCCATATAAATGTCTTTTTACGTGGCGCTGCCATTTTGGAAATAAATATACAAAAGCAAAGCATTATAAAAAAACTCTTTTTTATACATACTGATTTTACCTTACCTCGTTGTGCATTTTGGCATTAATTATTAAGAAAACAGTAACATCTTTGCTTTACAATAAATCAAACTGTGAAAAGAGACATAATAAACAAATCAGACAATCAGTGTTCTGTTACCGCTCAGTTAGCATATACAGGGTTCCCACGCTGTCCGGGAAAACGGGAAATGTCCGTGAATTTGAAAACACTAGCTCCCGGCCTTGAAAAGTCCGGGAATTAGTGTTGATACAGAAAAAAGTCCGGGAAGGTACGGGAATTAGTCTGGAAAAGGGGAGGTAAATCAAACAACCAAAATGGCGGTCTTAGCACAGTATATTGATTTCCGCATCTTGAATGTTGATGATTTTTCGATTTACAAGTGTTTTAAGAGGCCAATTTTGACATTTATGAGATTTAACATTTATTTTCTGGTTACTATTGCGGTTTTGTTTGGAAAATCTTATAAGACAGTCACAAATCGACCTCAAGTTTGCTTGATTGGCCTCTGCTCAAAGCACATGAAAAAGATGAAAGCTCACAGGTATGGTTGTTTCCTTGGGCAATGTTTTTTATCCTAATTGCTCACAACCATGCTAAAAGCCAAAGGTATATCAATATAAAATTAACAATAGTATTACATACAGGGCATCCATTAATGGAAGTTTGGGAGTCATTTACTCCCTGATTTTGGTTTGTGACTTCTTTAAGTTCTACTTTTCCTTCTTTACCTATATAATGTGACTTCCAATATCAGAGATTTTGTAGTGTCTGACTTCCAAATTTTGGAACTTAGTGGAAGCCCTGATTACATACATGAACTATTGTAAAGGCAGAGCACAGTCAATTGGCCACACGGGTAGCACGAAATACCTAAGTATAGCCAATATATACTAAAAATAATGTGTTGTACTAATAAAATTGTGTTTTAATCATGAATACAATATACAATTTCACTATGATGTAATCAAACATACCCAAATATAAATTTTTGAACACCGCCCCCCCTCCCGTAGCACTGACTTAAGCAGAATACAACATTTAAACATGAAAGTTGTGAAATTTTGAATGTCGAATCACCTGCAGGCAGTTTTCATAATTTTACCCTTCAGTGTGACATGCTTTTGCCATTCTTTGAAGCCTTTAAGTGGACTGAGGTCAAATGTGTGGTAACTTATTTAATAAGTACTATGAATATCTGGTCAAAAAAGTGATCCCTTGAAACATTAAAAAACAGCAAAATTACATGAAA